CGGTCATTCTTCGCGTCGGCAACCATCCGATCAATTTCAAACTGCGTATTTACTGTTCACCAGCGAGATCCAGCCGGCAGCACTGAAGAAAATGTAGCGAAGCGACCAAGACTAGATGGCAGCAGCTAGAAAAACTTTTCCGTTGTATTTCCTTCACGTTTGCTATTATTCCATTCACATTTTGACATGTGCTGTAGAAAACACCGCCTTTTAGTTTTCAAGTAAACAAATATTTTGAGCGCTGTAAGTTCCTCGCTTTTCCCAGCAGTTTTCGTCGGATAATTTCCTTCTTCAAGTGTTTACAAAAGACTATTTCGAAGACCATTTTCTTTGTAAGTCTTCATGTTGTTCATGTGAATTAAATTTGTGAAACTGTTAGTCTTTGTACACTTGATTTTTGCAATGGTTTTATCGTGTGCAAGCAGCCAGTAAGATTAATTCGTGTTTTGGGATTTGACGCATGCCAATCATTCGTGGCAGTTGACCGTTCCGCTTGACTTCAACTAGTTTTCTTTGCCGCGCGCCCGATTAACCTCAGAGATATAATAAATATCTTACTAAACTCGTTTTCTCGGTCCGTACTGTAAGTTGGGGATCCTCGTTTTTTCTTCTTTGATTTATGGCCCGCGCGCTTCGCGCTTGGGCCATAAATCAAAGGGGAAAAAACTCGGTCCGTAACTTACAGTACGAACCTCGAACTTGGTTAGTAAGAGGTATGTATTTTGATGATGTTACAATGCTATGAAATCATATAGCATCTGATTGCTTGTGACACAATAAACTTTCCAGAAATAACTAGTATTGCTTTTTTTCCCTAAGGCTAGCTGAGCCTGATGGATTTTGTCATGTGAGCAATGTTTTCTACATCAGTACCTATCATTGACTCTGCCACTAATCTTGTCCACATGCAGATTTCTTATTCGTGAGTTTTTAGCATCACGACAACAATCTTAATGAAGATGATGCACTTCCAAAACACTTCCTATCATTTTAAATGTGATGCCACACAGGAGGTCCAATGATAAATTTCAGTCTCCGGAAGAAACATTTATTTCTTGCTCTCCTTGTGGGTAAAGAAACACACAAAAAACTACACCCCATAGCTCCACATTCTATAATCGTCATGGTCACTTCATTCAGACCTGGGTTTGACTCTCTTGTTAAGTTTTTCGCGAGGCATGGTTTCATGGTTCGGCATATGTGTCCCATCACAGTCTTAAATGTTTTTGAAACTTGAAATTGTAGAGGACTCATTGACGGTAACTAGCTGGATAATGTGACAGACGTTGATATAATTTCCAATAAGAAGTATGAACATATACAAGAAATGTAAACAGAATTTAACCTGACCTCAAAATTTTAACAGGGAGAATATTTTTGTGATTTATGTACTCACTTCTGACTAGTTCATGAAAATTAAGAACGGTTTGCTGTAAGGACCGACTAAGCGTATACAAAATAGAAAAAACCGATTTCCCCAAACTTTGTCAGAATAAAGGGCTTGGTGAACTACTTCTAAAAATATAAGTTTCATTTTGTTTAGAGCTTCATTTATTTTGGGGGAATTTTTTTTAAATTTTACCCATGGAGGCGGGCTAAAATCACGCCGAAGTAGGCACTTTTGTAGAAGCTCCCTTTTATACAATGAGTCTTTTCTAGAAAAGATTAACCCAACAGAAGGAACAATTTTATTTTCTTAGATGACTAGCGGCGTTAAAGTTAAACAAAACGTAAACATGAATTTTTGACCAATTTTTTAAGTTGCGCCTTTTTACCGGTGATAAATATAACAACCTAATTTTGGCTAAATTCAAGGACAATAAAAGCATTTTGGTACATCGCTTTGCCCCACGAAACTACACTCCGGGAAAACATAATCATTTCAACTAAACATTGATCGAATAAAAAATTGGGGTAAATTAAACAGCGAGTTCTCAGAGCGTTTTCAAAACATGTCACTTCAGCAATTAAGAGCGACCTTTGACCTTTTATATCGAGGGGAAATATAAACGAGAGCTCATAAACCCTGACTTTCCTTCGCCGGAAGACGCTTATTTTTACTCTGCTGGCACATTTTGAGTAAAGGAAAACTACACATTTGAATTCGAAGTTATGTACTAGCTATGAAAGATAATTTGAAAAGCAAAATTAGCAATTCAATTCCACTTTGCGTAGGCGGTTCCGATTTGTTTACCACGAAATTGCGATTTTAAAGTCTGTTTACAACACAAATACGGCATCAACTACAAGGTAAACCTCATTCTACTGAATGATTAATAAATATTTCTTACCTTAGAGATCTTTTCTTGACTAAAAAAAGACATAGCCTGCATTCATTGCAAAATTATTAGGCCCGATCGCTAAACGATTAACCAAATAAAGCCACAGGAATCCCACTGTTTAAAATTGCACAATACCGGGACCGCACAGCTCTTTTTATTTATATAATAGTGTTTCGTTTTGCACTGTACTGTCCATTAATAATGAACTACCTTTATGTGACAAACGTTGCAACTTGTCAGATCTCCGTGACATTTAGGAAACTGCGATAAAAATGGGAATGATATAGGCTAATTCCAAATTGTGGCTGTACCCATTTTTTCTTTCTTGTGATCTTACCACTTGTCGTCAATCCAACGAAGTCTTAAGTGAAAAAAGATACAGAAACTGAAATAAATTCCTTGCATCACAAACAAGTAATAATTATAATGAAACAATAAACTTCAAGCAAAACTATAGATAGGGATACGGCGACTGTCTCGGGTGAGTAGTAATATGAGGTGCTAGAACTACCACACCCCTTTACAAGATCTCTTAACACGGAAAGGGACTATGCTTTGCGCCTTGGGTGGAATCCGTCTGTAGACGCCCCAAAAAAGTCGTTAGCATGTATAGATGATATTCCCTTCTCCCCTGACACTGACGTCCCATGCCATGCCCATCCAATGGGAGCGGCACAGATCCTCTTATTTGAACGCCATCTGATACCAAATGTGTCCCGATGTCTCGGTCAAATAGTGAGCTCAAGGTGACTTTCGCTTTTCTCAAAAATGCCTTTGAAGGTAAAACAGTCAATTACTACAAGTACTTTACCTTGCTTTTTACCTTGGAAATTTTAACATATAGAAAATAGAATGCATTAATGTTTTATTCACCATCGGCCACATTTGTTGTCCTCCCCCCCTCCGCCCCCGACCTGAATGAATTAATAAATTCAATTTCTCTTGTCACATACATTCGGTTCCTTGAAGGCCCGCAAATCTAATTTGTCACGTTCTCTTCTTGTGAAACAAACAAGGCTATCATGCTCGTCCGTACATCTTTTGTGGTTTTAGGCAAAAAATCCTTCTTCACGGACTTAGGTATTGATGATCAGGGAAACTTTTCGCTTTGTATATTTATAAAGCAACAAGAAAGCTTTTTGCCTTTACGTTTGTCGTAGCTTAGTTGTTTCGTGACTTTTAAACAAGTTTTAATTAAATTAAATTATTTTAAGCGTTTCGTAAACGTATCGAAAACATCGCAATGTTTACTAACGTTTGCGGCCTTTAACCTCTGTTAAGTTCGCTACAGAAGGGTTTTGGTTTAAAAATTACTCCTTAGAAGATGTTCAAGCTTTAAAGTTAAGCGAAAACTTACTGATCCGTGACGATTCTTGATATAAAAAACGCAAATCATATACAAATTTAACCCCGTTAGCTGAGTTAGAGGTTAATTGCAACTTTCAACGTTAAAGAAGAAAGAAAAGAAAAGCAAAAAAACTCTCTTTGTTTTAAAAGTAAATATTTTTAAATTAATTTATGTTGGGCATTCATATACACAGTACACAGCGCTAAAACATACTGTACCTGCCCGTGCCGATAACAACTTTGCTTCAGTCTTACATAGCGTCTCGAGTGTTGCAATAACGCAGATGCCCTTGCGTGGATTTGGTACACTTGGCAAGGATTAAGCTTTTCACATTGGCTAAATTGTCCACACTTGAACCACATGTTCCCCCTACAATCTACCCATATTCACACACAGCCATATATAAGCACCATTCCGGTGGTCGTAGCCACCCGCAATAAACTCCACTGTACACTCAGCAAGTACCACGTGCAACGAACAAAAGAAGTAAGCTTTCGGGACATGGCGCTCTTTTCAATTTACGTGATCTTTAAGTAATTAAGATATTACATCTAAGTGTCCGAAAAGAAAAAAAAGGCGTTTTGAATTGACGTGCCATAGTAATACCGAAATATGTAGGTACACATCTCAGCACGAAATGTACTCCTGGCGTTCCTGTGGTTCCTTAAATTAATCGTTAAGTTGTTCTTTGGCTTGAGGCGTTCCGTGATCTAGGTCAATACACTTTTGCAATGAACACAGACGGTGTTATTTAGGCAGGAAAAGATTTCTCAGGTAAGAAATATTTATAATCATTCAGTAGAATGAGGTTTACCTTGTAGTTGATGCCGTATTTGTATTGTAAACAGGCTTTAAAATCGCAATTTCGTGGTAAACAAATCGGAACCGCCTACGCAAAGTGGAATTGAATTGCTAATTTTACTTTTCAAATTATCTTTCATAGCTAGTACATAACTTCGAATTCAAATGTGTAGTTTTCCTTTACTCAAAATGTGCCAGCAGGGTAAAAATAAGCGTCTTCCGGCGAAGGAAAGTCAGGGTTTATGAGCTCTCGTTTATATTTCCCCTCGATATAAAAGGTCAAAGGTCGCTCTTAATTGCTGAAGTGACATGTTTTGAAAACGCTCTGAGAACTCGCTGTTTAATTTACCCCAATTTTTTATTCGATCAATGTTTAGTTGAAATGATTATGTTTTCCCGGAGTGTAGTTTCGTGGGGCAAAGCGATGTACCAAAATGCTTTTATTGTCCTTGAATTTAGCCAAAATTAGGTTGTTATAATCACCGGTAAAAAGGCGCAACTTAAAAAATTGGTCAAAAATTCATGTTTACGTTTTGTTTAACTTTAACGCCGCTAGTCATCTGAGAAAA